GGCCATCGCTCACGTAGCAGAGTGTACACGAATCACGGCAGACTTTTGAGTTTTAGGTGTGTATTTTAAAAAAACAAAACTTCAGTTAGGTGGTAAACGGACGACTTGAGTTTGCATGTTTCCGGTTGTAAAGGAAGCCCGCATTAGTTCACAGCTGAGAAGTTAGACGTGATGGATACAAAACTACTGTGTAAGAAATAGGCAAAACCCTACCACCCCGAAATCCCTTTGAATTATTTCGGACAAGCTCTTTACACAGCGCCTGATGCGCGTATTGCCGTGCTGGCTGGGCCGCCTTGGGGAGCGAGTCGGACTGGGTCCCGGTCCTTGTGTGTGGCTTAGTGGGGGAAACACCTAGTAAAATGGACAGACGGCGTGGCATTTAATTGCAGGTCCCTCGAGTGTTGTAAAGAGCGGACTAGGGCTGCTGCAAGGAGACCCAACTCAGGCTGCACGGGATGCTTTTCTGAGGAAGAGACACTTCCAAGCAGCCGTCTGAAGGTGGCTATGCGAAGTAGGAGAGGGTCGGGGAGCTGGCGTGGAGAGGGCACCCAGAAAGCCGGAACAGCTGGGGGAAAGGCTGCACTTGCGGGCTCTCGGGCTGAGTGGAAGCCTGACCCGAGCGGGGCGAGCGCGGGGGTGGGCGCCCGAGGGTCCCGGCGGCGGGGAGCGAGGCCGGTAACGCTGGGTCCTTCACAGGGGTCGGCGGGGTGGCCGCTCAGAATCCGCTGTTGCGGCTCGAAGGAGGGGGCTGGGGAGGGTGGACGTGGGAGAACGGGTCGGCAATACATTTATTAAACTTCGGACGTGTTCGTATGTTGGTATTATGCAAGAACTGAGAACCTCCACAGGACCCTCTCCAGAGATAACCTTGGTTAAGTATACAGGTCCTTCTCGTGCTTTTGTGTGTGGACAAGGTGTAAGAGTATGTATATGTGTGCACCCCACCCCAGTGTGGAGTAAACTATGCTCCTTTTTCTGATTTCATTTTTCACTTGTAGATTTTGTCAGTGTCTGTGTCAACTGTACTTTAAAAACAACTGTCATATGCCATTGTATGAACCATCATTTAACTACTTGCATGTTGATAGAGGTATTTAAAACTGTCTTAATCATGCCCTGAAAATTCTTGTTTCCATAACTTGGAGCACATATGGGACATTCCTTTAGGCTGTGCTACTAGACATAGGACTGCTGGGTGAAAGAGTGCGCACATTAACACTTCTCATGTGTGCTGACTTCTTCCTCCGGGGCACGTGGTGTGAGAGTGGTTGTTGTTCACATACCCTTTGCAGCACTGGGTATCTAGGGTCTTTTAAATGATAGACAGTATCTTAGTTTTTAAATTTGGATTTGCTTGGTTACTGGTGAGGTTGAACATCTTTGTGTTGAGTACTTTTTTTTTTTTTTTTT